TATTGAAGTTATCAATATATCAATTGGCTCCACATTCAATGTCCATAAAAGGAGTAGTCACAAAATCAAAAGATGTATTGAATAGGACAAATTGTTTTAAACTCCACTTAACCTACAGTGTTACAAATGATTTAACATAAATAAATATAAAATACCCTACTTACATTTATTAAGTAATAAAGTAGCCATTGAGAAAGTCCACCACTTTTGGAGGACTTACTTTATGCCACACACTAAGTGCCTTCTATAATTCTATAATTAAATATTGACAAGAACCCCTCCAGACAGTAGTGGCAGTGGTGGTGGGGGTAGTAGCTGTTGTTGGTAAGTGCCACTGAGTGGGTTCTTGTATAGGGTTTCTGAGGAGTGGGACCTGGTGGTTAGCAGTCTAGTGCTTATCCTACACCGCCACACCAAGACAGTAATAATGATAAAATCCAACATCTATAGAGCATTTTTTTGGTGTGTACCAGGTACTGTCTTAAGAATTTTACACTTGATTCTGATAACAACCATGTAAAATAGACCCTATTATTATCTCCTTTATATAGATGAGGAAATTGGGACCCAGAGAAGTTAAGTAAGTTGTGTAAGGTCACACAGTAAAACTGAGCTAGTACTAGTACACAAACCCAGTTCTCTGATCCCAAAGCCTATGCTCTCATACCTCAGCATTATACTGCTTAGGAGGGACACTTCTTACCCCTTCTTACAGATGCAGATACTAAAGGTTAGGAAAGTTGAAATGCTTCAAGGTGTTAGTGAGCTAGAGGACTTGGATTCAAGCCCAGGATGCTTGGTTTTATAGATGATTCTTAACTACCCTACTGTACTGTCTCCCTCTAACAACTCTAGAGTAACCAAAAAAATTAAACCCACTGCCGTCCAGGTGATTCTGACTCATAGTGACCCTATATAGTATTTCTGAGACTGTAAATCTTTATGGGAACCGACAGACTCATCTTTCTCCCACAGAGCATGTGGTGGGTTTCAACCACTGACCTTGTGGTTAGCAAGCAATCCCAACACCTCTCCTACAGCACTACCGATTCAATACATTATCTGTTGTAATCTCCATAACATTTTATGACATCACTGTTGTAGCTCTCACTCCACATACAGGAGCCTAAAATTTTCAAGAGGTTAAGCAAGTTCCCCCAGACTATACAGATAGTGATTGTTGTTGTTGTTAAGTGCCGTTGAGTCAATTCCAACCGATAGTGACCCTGTATAGGGTCTCTGAGGAGCAACTGGTGGGCTTGAACCACCGACCTTGTAGTTCAAATGACTTTGCAGTCTGGTGCATTAATCCACAATGCCACACCAGATAGTGATTGTTGTTGTTGTTGCGTGCCGTGGAGTCGGTTCTGACTCATAGGACCCTACACAGGGTTTCTGAGGCTGTAAATCTTTACGGGAGCAGACAGCCTCATCTTTCTCCAGCAGAGCGGCTGGTAGTTTCAAACTGCTGACCTTGCAGCTCGCAGCCCGATTCGTAACCACTACGCTACCAGATAGTGATTAGATGAATTGAATTCAAACTCAGGTCTGTCTGGCTCCAAAATCCACATTCTCAAACATTATGTGTGCAAGGTGGAAAGGATGTGACAGAGTGATAGCATCTGTGAAAGAGACTATTTGCAACTTCAGTGATGTCACTATGAACAAGGCAAATGCCACCAGAGGCTTGGTTCTAGAAATACGAGATTCAGAGCAAGGGAGGGGACAGTCTCACTCGGGCATTGATACTCACTGAGGCATTGAGCATGATTCTAGGCCCCTCACTTTAAATGAGGATTTCTGGTACACCTGAACCTCATCCAGAGGTGAGTATGGGTCCTGGTGAAGTGTCTGAGTAACATGTTTGTAAAAGAATTGTTAAAAGGCCAAGATTGTTTTGCTTCCCAAAGGAGACTACTTAGGGGAGGGTGACTAGCTAGTGTTTGAAGTGTCATTCTTCTGGCGGAGGATTAGATAGCATCTGTAGAGCTCCAGAGGGAAGAACTAATTTGCACATATATAGAGGAAGGGCTATTTGGTATTGGAGCTTTTTAGCAAGCTATTGGGCGTCCTTGTAAGGGAGATCATTCCTTTTCACTGACTGAGAAGCTGAATAACCAACCACTGATGGTGGGTGTTAAAGAAAAGATTTTTTTCAGGTGTGGTTGGTAGTGATTATGCGCCGTGGAGTTGGTTCCAACTCATAGCGACCCTGTACAGGGTTTCCAAGGCTTTAAATCTTTAGGGGAACAGCTCGCTGATAGTTTCGAACTGCTGACCTTGAGGTTAGCAGCCCACTTTGCTACAGGTGTAGTAGTTCTTAAATTGTGGTGGACATGAAAATCACACGGGGAAACTTGTTAAAGATTTTCAGGTCTTACCTTTAGAATTAAGGAGTTTTGGTAGTGTAGTGGTTATGAGTCAGGCTGCTAACCAACCTTATGATCAGTAGTTCAAAACTACTAGCCATTCCATGGGAGAAAGCTGAGGCTTTCTGCTCCCGTAAACAGTTACAGTCTTGGAAACCCTGTGCAGGGTTGCTATGAGTTGAAACTGACTCCACAGCACACCACCTTTAGAATTATTGCCTCAGTCAACATGGGAAAGGTCCAAGAATCTGCATTTATAACAAAAAAATCCAGTGAGTCCAAATCAGGTTGTCAGTGACCACACCTGGCGAATGAGTAATCTCATTCTACAAATAAACATTTTTGTAAAATAGTGTGTAGTCCCAAGGATTGCAAAGTCAGCTTGAATGGCAAGTTTGGTGGTTCAAGCTCACCAGTTGCTCCTAGGAAACCCTATACAGGGTGACTATGGGTTGGAAACAACTTGACAACACTTAACCACAATAACATATATATATATATATATATATATATATATGTTTGACAGAGGATATTTCTACATGTGTATTTATATTCGCTGCAATATATCCATGAATATAGTAGAGCATACCAAGGACGAGGTTATGAAAACTTATTAGCCATAACCAAACTCCTTTAGGAAATGAGTTGCTGGGTTTGGGATCATGGTATCAGGAGTGACCAAGATCAATCAGCATAAGAGTCCACAAAGACAGTAAATACTCTAAATCCTATATGGGTGAGTAGTGACTAGGGTCTTCAAAGCTTGTGAGTAGCCATCTAAGGTCTACTGGTCTCTCCCTGTCAGGAGTGAAGAAGAGCAAACAAAATCAAAGATACAAGGAAACAAGTTCTAGTGGACAAAGGACTAATGGGCAATGCCAACCACAGCCTCCACAACCATGAGACCAGAACTAGATGGTGCCTGGTTACCACAACCAACTGCTCTCAAAGGGATCACTGCTTTGAAATAGGATGCCCTCGGCAAAGGATCCAAAACAAAGTTCTTCAAAAATCTGATAGCTCTAATTGTTGTTGTTAAGTGCCGTTGAGTCAGTTCCAACCCATAGCCACCCTGTCTGTATAGGGTTTCCAAGGAGCAGCTGGTGAGCTTGAACTGTTGACCTTGCAGTTCAAATGACTTTGCAGTCTGGTGCATTAACCCATAATGCTACACCAGGACTCTGATAGCTATAATTAGAGATGAAATTATTGGAATATAGGGTATTAAGATATGGAGAAGAAGACTTGATTCTCAGTGTATATCATAAAATATAAGACTTGAATAGAAAAACAGACACTATAAATCCAGTCTAAAAAGAAAAAAAGAAAAGAAAGAACCCATTCTATATATACTCTGTGGTGCTGTAGGATAAGCACTTGACTTCAAGGTCACTTTGAACCACAAGGTTGGTGGCTCGAATTCTCCAGACATTCCTTGGAAACCCTATAGAGGGTTGCTATGATTTGGAACTGACTCAACAACACTTAATAACAACAACAATGACATATGCTCTATATGTGCTAGAATCCTAAACTTCAAGGTCAGTTTGAACTGCATGGTTGGCGGTTCAATCTCACCAGCCACTTCTTGGAAACCCTATACAGGGAAACCCTACAAGTCAGAGCCAGATTGACGGTACTTAACAACAACATATATGATAAGTCCTGATGTGGTGCTGTAGGATAAGCACAGGACCACAAGGTTGGTTTGAGCCACAAGGTTGGCAGTTCAAGCTTACCAGCCACTCCTCAGAAACCCTATACTGGTTCACTATGAGTCGAAACCAACTTGATGGCACTTAACAACTTAACAACAGCAGTATATGCTAAAGAGCAGTGTGTTGAAAACCTGGCAAAAGCTATCAGGTTATCCTAATGCATTGCACCTGTTTCAGGGTTAACTGCCTATCAGCCTTTGGGGCCCAGGCTTATATAAACTTCTACTGAAAGCTGACAAAACATATGTAGGTGAGAGTTGGAAACAGTTGATTTTACTCTGCCCCTGTTTTTTGTTGTGGCTCAAGAAATTTTTCTGGTAAGTATAATATAATTTGGTTAATCTTAACTTTTATTTAAAGTGTGTAATCTTGTTGGGGATTTGGTTAATCTTAACTTTTATTTAAAGTGTGCAATCTTGTTGGGGATCAAAAGGCTTACAGGCGAGGCCAGACCCCGGCACAATCTGAGAGCCATATTTTACAACTATTGTATGCTGAAATGTGTCTGTTCTCTGTAAATATACTTTAAAAAAAGAGCTCCTTGGAGTAATTCATTACCTCACCTCACTGACCTTTTGACTTAAACTGCAAAATGCTATTTCATTGTTTTGCAAACACATTAAAGTTTTTAAAAAGATATGTCTGTCTTCTTTTGAAAAAACTTTTAAAACTGGTTGGTTGAGGAGTTGGTTCCTTAGTAAAATGTTTTGTTGACTGATGGTGTTGATGGGACTAGTTCGTTCTCTAAGGACTTCTTTCTAGTAAAAGATTTTTGCTTCCCAGTTAAGAAATGTAAAAGTTCCAGGTGACACAATTAAATGTTAATAATAAGCGAAACCCTTGTTTCTCTTTAATTTCTTCTTGCTTTTAATGGTTGGCAGAACTCCTCATAGATCTTTGGTTTTCTTGAATCATGAGAGATGAAATTGCAACCACAGTTTTCTTTATCAAGAGGTTGGCAAAAAAACATGAGAAACTGAGTAAACAGGAAATACAAGACTTTGCAGAAAAACTGATGATAATTTTGTTTGAAACTTACAGAAATCACTGGCATTCTGATTGCCCATCAAAAGGGCAAGCCTTCAGGTGAGAGTTAGTAATTTATTTATAAAAGGGAAGTTAACAACCAGGTGACCATTTGCTAGGAAAACACAATGATTCTGTTCTCCATCTATATAAGTAACTGAAGTCTTATGGGCCCAAACTCAGAAGATGTCGTAGGTGACATTGCAATTGGAAACTATAGAAACTATAGAATAAACCCCCTTATGTGAGATGGATCACATGATTTTCATTTGTTAGCCATGAAAGATTTGCAGGGAGCATTTGTGAATTGTGTGAGTTAGTGATACAACACACATTCTGAGTCACTGTATAATGTTTTAATTTTGTTTGTAAAACTGGGGGTGGGGCAGTGATGGGGGGAGGGAGTTGAAGTAGAGCACTGAATGCCTTAGAGCAATCTGTCTACAACTTGTTACTCCTGTTGAAGTTCTTGCCATCTTTGTTTCCCTTTCCTTGTTAAGGTGTATCAGGATAAACAGTTATCAGAATAAAGATCCCATTCTAGAAAGGGCTTGTGCTGAAAGCAATGTGGATTTTTCTCATCTGGGACTTCCAAAGGAGATGACCATATGGGTAGATCCCTTTGAAGTGTGCTGTAGGTGAGTAACCTCATTGGAAATTGGTAGCTTGGTGAGCTGTGGTCACCTCAAAATTTTAAGTCAGCCTTGTTGACCTTTGTGGGAGTCCCTAGGCGGTATAAACAGCACACTTGGCGATATAAACAGCACACTTGGCTATCTACCTAGAAGTGCTTTTGAAGATAGGCCTGACAACCTACTTCCAGAAAACCGGCCATTAAAAACCCATGTGACTGACATGCATTGGGTTGCCAAAAGTCAGAGTCAACTCAATGGCAACTTGTTTATAGATTTTATGAAAAATGATGCTCTGAAACCTTGGATTAGTACTGAGGACACTGGTTAGTTAAGAGTTCAGATGCAAATTTACACAATGAAGAATTCCTTTAGGAATAGGAAGCACAAAATTTTAAAATGATATCTGAAATCTAACTTTAACCACTACACTCAATGATGAACTACAGATTATAACTTTAAGTGTTTTAGGCAATACCAATGGGAAAGTCAGCCCATTAGTTTAATCAAAAAGGTCTAGTCTTTTTCTGAATGGTGGGGGTGGTGGTGGTGTGCTGCAGAGTTGGTTCCGACTCATAACGACCCTGTACAGGATTTACGAGGCTGTAAATCTTTATTGGAGCAGAAAGACTCATTTTTCTCCTGTGGAGTGGCTGGTGGATTTGAAATTCTTATCTTTCAGTTAGCAACTCAACTTGTAACCACTATGGTACCATTAGCCAAAATAGCTCTTACAGAATACCCTCATTATGACAATGTGGTAGTCAGAGGTCAAAGTGTCCCTCAATTTGTTTTGCTGTCAAGCTATTTCCACTTTATAGATTTATCCCTTTTGATGAACTCTTTTCCTAAGTTTATGAGTTGTCTCCAGAGAGAAAATCTGTGAGAAGTTGAATCTCTAATGAATACTCTAATTTTCTTCCAATTTTCCTACTTAGGTATGGTGAGAAAAGCCAGCCATTTACAATTGCTTCTTTTAAAAACAGATGGGAGGGATGGGAACTATCTCAACGAATTAATAAGATTGTTAATAGAGCCACATTAGACTACTCCTCTGGCACCAACTCCGATGATGAAAGTTGTAGCAAAGAACCCCAGATAATTCCTAAGGTCAGCAACCCTAACAGCATTTATCAGGTAAAGTGTATTCTAGTCCTTCTCTCTCTCTCTCTCTTTTTTTTTTTTTATTCAAAACAAAAACAAATAGGATATGAAAAGAAATGTCTGTATTCTTTCAATTTGGCTGAGTATTGTATAGTGCTATTTCTTCATATAATATTTTAAGTAAAAGGTCATTTGTATAGGCTTAAACTCTTTCAGATTTAAATATTCAAATTCATGTTTGTTCTTTTTGTCAGTAAAAAATAACATGTCACTTGTAGAAAAAGTGAAATATCCAGAAAAGATGGACGCTCTGCAAATCATCACAATTTTTAATAAAAATGTTTTAAATACAGCCCACAGATATGTATCTTACATGAAAGATGTTTTTGTTCCCCCCCCTGCAAGATCATAACTTTGCTTTCAACCAATCATAAGCTTTGTTTCATCTCAATGATTTACACTCCTTTTCCTGTCACAATTACATCTTATTTTTCACAAATGAAAAAAGCAAAAACATTTTTACAAATACAAAAGAAAAAACATACATTCATTTAAATGTCCACAGGACACATTTTGTAAGCCTGCCTGCAGGCACACAGCCTGTCTCATTCCATGGGTTTAGAGCCGGAAGCTGCTATCTTTCCATGCTATTGCCTCTGCCTCTGTTTCTGCTGTTTCTCTTCTGGTTAGGAGGTTAGGATTTAATGCTCCACTCATGCTCTTCCTTCTTGATGGTCCTGCGGTCAGTCTTTGTTTCTGAAATGAAAGATTAATTACTCTCCACTTGTAAACATCTTCTACAAATACAATTGTGGCAATCACGATTAAACCTGCTAACAATTCACATTTGAATCATAAAGTCCTATCACCATCACCTTCCATTCCCTTTCACCAGATCCACCCTTTCACCAGATCCATCTGGAAAAGAGGAAAACTATTCAGTGGGGGTTCTACGTTACCCTCCTCATTCTGAAACTAAGCACACTCATGAAATCTTGTAAGCCAGTGACTTCATGCCTTTATAGCACCCCCATTTTTTATAGGGATGGTCAATTTAGACATTAGCTATTAACCCAGTGCTGTCCTGGTGTGGCACTACAGGAGGATAATGTGATGGACTGCAAGGTTAGTTTGAAACAAAAGGTCGGCAGTTCAAACCCACCAGCCATTCTTGGGAAATCCTGTGGGTTGAAATTGACTTGATGGCACTTAATAACATCAACCCATTACACTAAGGAAATGAGCTTGATGCTTGATATGTAGAATCCTACCATTTCAGTTGGAATTTTGAGCAACTGCATCCATAAGCAAAGGTCCAGTTTATTGAATTGTAGCAAATTCTTGCTCACAGTAACAAGCTTCTTCATCTCCATCTGATTTAGTTCTGGTCAGCTAACCATCCAAGCTAGTTCAAATGAATACTATCTGCAAGCTTGGAAGTTCACACATGCCTCCTCATACCTTAGATCAGCTAGCTGCTTCACTTTTGGCTCTAGTCCCCAGTGGCTACACATATCTCCCTAAATTTCAGAAAGAGGTTTTATGAAAGAATACTTACCTAGTATACTAGGTATAAGGAGCTCTGGTAGTGTAGTGGTTACAAATTGGGCTGCGAGCTGCAAGGTCAGCAGTTCGAAACTACCAGCGGTTCTGTGGGAGAAAGATGAGGCAATCTGCTCCCTTAAAGATTTACAGCCTTGGAAACCCTGTGTAGAGTCGCTATGAGAACCGACTCACGGCACCTAGCAGCTACAGAAACTGCATACTAGGTATAATAACCCCCAACACTTCCTATTAAATTATGAGGAGGCTTCAAAAAGTTCATGGAAAAATTCTATTATCTTTTAATTTCCATTTGACCATGAACTTTTTGCAGTCCCTTTATATACTGATGATTTCAACGACCTAGACTGACTTCATGAGCCAATAGTGGTGACAACGTATAGGTTGAGAAATATTCTTCATTACAATAACATTTTAATACATATTAAAATATAATGCAATTTATATTAAAATACTGATGTAATTTAATCATATATAAAAATTCTATTGTAATTCAACTACTTATAATTCAACTAGTTAACATTTTAATGTTCCTTTGTTTCTCTTCTAATTTGATCTTATTGGCAGACATCTAGATCCTTTCCACATTATTGTGTTGTAAACTTAAAATGTGTACAGAAATGTCTGAATTTTAAGTTATTTTGTAATTTGATTCTTAGACATGGATTACTTGGTTGTTAATATATGGCCAAAGTAACTTCTAAAAAGTATAAGTAGTCTCACTAGACCTATATGAATGCTTATATTTTATCATTCTCCTGCCCCCAGAATTGGAGATTTGATAACTTGATTAAAAAATGGTATCCTATTTATATGGTATCTATAATAAAAATCTATTATCAACATTTAAAAAAAAAATTCCAAATATTTTGACAATTACTTACTGTCTATTATGAATTTTTTTCTTATCATTTGAGGCCCTAATTATTATTATAGGGTTTTCATTGTCAAGTACCATTGAGTCAGTTTTGATTCATAGTGACCCTGTATAGGGTTTCCGAGGAGTGACTGGTGGGTTTGAACCCTGACCTTGTAGTTAATAGTCCAGTGTCCTATAGCATCACACCAGGATCCAAGTTTTTCATAGGACAGAATATTTTAAACCATTGTCATGTTAAGTGCTGTTAAATCAGTTCCAACTCATAGCAGCCCTGTATAGGGTTTCTGAGGAGCAGCTGATGAGTTTGAACTGCTGACCTTGTGGTTAGTAGTCCAGTGTTTTTCCTATAGTGCCACACCCAAGATTGTACTCAGATTTGAATATATATATATTTAAAAAATAAAACATTTAGTCAGATTAAAGAATTACTTTTGGTAAGAGATATGGAGTGACTTTGGTCTCTGGCTGGTACAAATGGTTAACAGACTCACAGTTAACTGAAAGTCCCCTTTGAAGAAAGGCCTGGTTAGTGATTTACTTCTGACAAAATCAGCTACTGAAAACCCTGTGGAACACAGTCCCACTCTGATAGTCATGGGGTTACCATTAATCCATTAAATGGAAACAACTCGGTGCCAACTAGTTGAATGAAGTGACTTACTCCCCACCCCACCCCCACCCCCCAAAAAAATGCTACCCACTCTTCTGAAGTTGTTTAAAAAAATATTTTTTTAAATCGGTTTTGATTTTTATTAACATATGCTTCCTAGGTAAGCATTGGACTGCAAACCACAAGGTCAGCAGTTCAAATCTACCAGTCACTCCTGGGAAACTCTATACAGGGTCGTTATGAGCTGAAATAGACTCCTTGGCATTTAACAGCCTCTTAAAAAATATTTTGTTCTTGCTGTTGAGAATATATACAGCAAAACATATCAACCCAAAACATATCAACCCGACAGTTTCTACATGTACCATTTAGTGACATTGACTACCTTCTTCCAATTGTGTAACCATTCTTGCCCTCTCTCCTAAGTTGTTCTTCCCCTTCAACATAAATCCACTGCCTTCTAAGGTTCCTAACTAATGTTTCCAGTTACTGCTGTCAACTTGACCCCATATGTTGTTGTTGTTGTTAAATGCCGTCGAGTCAGTTCCAACCCATAGTGACCCTTTTTAGGGTTTCCTAGGAGCAGCTGGTGAGCTTGAACTGCCAACCTTGCAGTTCAAATGGCTTTGCAGTCTGGCGCATTAACCCACAGTGCCACACCAGGACTCCTGACCCCATATAGATAGTTCTAAAAAGGGTATAATGCTCAAGACAGACATTTTTATGTACTAGTTATGCTAAACTGTTGTTTGGTCTGGTGTGGCACTGTAAGATAAGCACTGGACTGTTAACCATGAGGTTGGCAGTTTAAACCCAGCAGCTGCTCCTTGGAAAACCTATACAGGGTCGCTATGAGTCAGAACTGACTCGACAGCACTTAACTACATTGTTTGATTTGATTTTATTTTTTAAAGAGACTTCAAAAGTCTTAATTTCTAAGTTGTTGTTATGTGCCATCTAGTCGGTTCCGACCCATAGCAACCCTGTATAGGGTTTCCGAGGGTGTAAATCTTTACGGGAGTAGAAAGCCTCATTTTTCTCCCGCGGAGCGGCTGGTAGTTTCGAACCGCTGATCTTAAGGTTCGCAGCCCGATTCGTAACCACTACGCTACCAGAGCTCCTTTAATTCCGTGCTTGTATTTAATCTTTAATAATTTCACACACACACACACACACACACACACACACACACACACACACACAAAACCAAACCCATTGCTTTCAAGTCAATTCTGATTCATGGAAAAACTCCATGTGTGTGATAATCAAACTGTGCCCCACAGGGTTTTCATGACTGACTTTTTTCAGGAGCGGACGGTCAGACCTTCTTTCTGAAGTGCCTCTGGTAGACTCAGACCTCGGACCTTTCAGTTATTAATGGAACATGTTGACCATTTGAACCACCCAGGGACTTCAGGGATTTGTTGTTGCATAATAATGTCTCAGTTATCCTGTATAAGGTTCCCAGGGAATGACAGGTGGGTTTGAACCACCAACATTTTGGTTAGCAGTTCAGTGCTTATCCTACACGGCCACAGCAGGACTACCTTATTACTTTAAAGATCTTTGTACTCTTCCTTTCTTTCCAGGTTGAAAACTTGAAACAGCACTTTCAGTCTTGGTTCCAAATCCCCCGCAAAAAGAATATGAGTGTCGGCCATGTCAGCTTCCTAGGAGAGGCTTATATGTCACGTAAGAGCTACAGGACTGCTCCTATGTTGGTAGGACACCGGGTAGATAGGTACCATTGGGTCAACACAAACAGACGAAACTGTGACTAAGTCTGAGGTGGGCAGGGCTCAGAGGAGTGCATTCATTCTGTTTAAAACTAACATGAGTCTAGGTTTAGAGGTCCCTGGAACAGAAAAAATAGGGATTTTCTCTGGGATTTTAATTCCACATTAGGGATTTGTAGTACACAATGGTGAAGCCCTTTATACAGACTCTGTTCTTAATTGTGAAATTTTATATGATGTTTTATGTAACACTAATGAACGAAGCCAATAAGCTAATATAATGAAGATCCTGACCTGTGACAAGATTTAGCTAATTATGAAAAGTAACAATTAAATAAACGGACTGTGATTTTAATCCTTTATATATATATATATTTTAATATTACAAGATAGTTTTTAAAAGTTTGTGTTTGTATTGAACTCATTAGCCATTTTGATTTAGGGAAGATGGATACTGATAATATAGCATTCTGGTTACTGCTTCATTACTTTCCATCATTGTTTTCCTGTAAGACCTTGTTTGAAAATTATTCTTATAATTCTTCTTTAAAGATAACCTAAACAGAAATTTTATCTATCTTTTTAAATAATTTGATTCATTTTATGGTTTCTCAAAAGGCTTAATAATTATGATGTGCTCTGTAACAATGTTACATACTCATTAAGAATTCAAGCTAAACAGGAAATATTTCTTCCCACCCAGAAATTATCATTATCATTCAATGATGAACATTATTTCAGTTATCCTATGTAGATACATGGTTGTAAGGACTAATAGGCAAACAAGCCATTTTAGAGAAGCTACTCATAAAAGATTCAGTTTAATTTATTTGACTGCAACACAATAAAAAATCCTAAAGTGAAATTGAAAGAATTGCTGAGCTACTTATATAAATTCTGTACCATAAAGTATTTCTTTCCTAAAGAACCTCTTAATCATTTAAATAATGGAGCAGTCCTTAAAAGTTTTATTTAATTTTATATAGTATTGATTATGTTATGAAAGCTAGCATTTTAATTCCTCCTTGCCCCCTCATTTTTCGTGTTATTTTTTATTGTAGTAAATATATATACAAGAAAACATTAATCTTTTCTCGCTTGCACAATTTAATGACATTAGCTATTCTCATCATGTTGTGTGACTTTCACCATTAACCAGTTACAAAATTCTCCATCACCCTTAACAGAAAGTTCAGTGTCTTCTAAACAATGAGGTTCCCTGCTCCTCTCCCTACTTTCTGTCTGCCCGATTACCATCACTAAGTATCCTTAGGTCTATATATACTTATGCAAGAGGATTTCTTATAAGTATATAGTGCATATAAGTGAAACCACACAATGTCTTTTTGTGATTGACTCCCATGCCATTTATAATATCAATGTTTAACATACTCAGTCTTGAAACAATTGTTCCTATGGTTTGCTTGTCTTATTTCTATATTTAAATGGATTCATGTATACCGGTAATCTTTTGACATGATTACTCTGGATGTAAACTCTATTTTGATTTACCTTTGGTTTAACCAGTAAGTGATTTTTTTTTTATCTCAAATGGCTTAATAGGTGCTATATTCTGAGTTCATTTGTGTTTGAGATGATCTGTGTCCTTTTATACTTAAAGGACAACTTGGTTGGGTATCAAAATCCTAGGCCATGCTCTCCCTCCCCCCTTCCACTTTATAGATGTCATACTAATATAATATTTTCTAGAATTCTATGCTGCTGTGGAGAAATCTGAGACTAGCTTGATTTTTCTGACTCTCCATAGTTATTCTCTATCGGTTTCCTCAATCTGCCTTTCTTCTGATCTGTAGATTTAGTGTTTTTAGAGTAAGTTTCTGAATATTATCTTTCAACAATTTCATCTATCCATTTTAGTAATATCAACTCTCTTTATGCTGGTTATTTTTGATCCTTTATATCTTTTATCTGAGGATTTTAATTTTTTTTTTTCCCTTTAAAAATTTTTATTTTTCAGCCATGATTGTCTTAAGTTTTCTGTCGATTTGATTCACAGTAGATTCTTGGAGCCTCTGCTTTACCTGAGAGTCTTCACTGGTTGTTCTTTCTTCTGTCTCACTTATCTTTCCTAGCCATTTATTCTTATTTACCACCTATTTCCTACAACCTTCTAGAAGTAAATTGAGGATGCTCTTCAGTCCAGGTTTCTATAGATTTAAAAGATTTCTATAGAAGTCTTTTGGCCACTACTTTTTAAAGTTTATGATATAAGGAAATGTTCCTTGTTGTGGTTGTTAGGTGCCATCGAGTCAGTACTGACCCATAGTGACCTTATGCACAGCAGAATGAAACACTGCCCGATCCTGGGCCAACCTCACCACTGTTGCCACACTTGAGTCCATTGATGCTGCCACTTGGCCAATCCATCTTGTTGGGAGGTCTTTCTCTTTTTCTCTGACCCTCCA